GATGCTCTCCCAGCTGTCAAAGGGCACGATTATAGTAATAATGATGCTTAAATTGAAATATTTCTACAACCATGATCAAGTTTTCCTGTTTACGAAAAATATCATCTGAAGGCTGAAAGGCTGTGTTACTGGACTAGACTTAAATGACAACCTAAAAAAAATGAACCAGTGTGATGAGGGTCACAATAGCATGTGAGCACAATTCCCAAACATCTCTCATGCACTTTATTGCCAGAGGTCACTCACCCATCCAAATCGTGAATTTGGGTGTTTCAGTCAATTCCATGGAGGTGGAAGTGACTGGCATTCATTCAATGCCAAGCTGCTTGAATGAAGTCAAGCAGCTTGGCATGCAGATATTTTAGCAGAAAGTTAAACTGCTAATAGATGTTTGTTGGTATTTTCGGTCACATGAGGGCAGCGAACAAAGTGATGTATTTTTTAAGTTATAGACTTGACATACTGACCTCGTTAGCAAATGCAGAGAATGACAGGCAGGCTGAGTTAACCCAGAGAAAGCCTTTATTTTGGCCGAGAAACGTCCACAATGCAAAAGTCCAACAGAAGGTAAACAGAACAGGCAGGTCAGCAGATGCTGCAACTTTCATCTGAATGCAAACCACCTCCATTAGCTTCATGTTTTCCTGTTGCTCAGCAAGTATTTGCAGACAAACATGAACAACTACAGGGAAAAACCACTTCTGTAGCAACCAGTGCTTGTATAACATGTGGTGGACAATGTGCACATCAAGTGATGTCATGTAAGAAACACACTGAGGGCTAATCAGTGTGTGTGTGCCATGAGACACAGGAAACAGGGTGAAACCAATCCCTGACAGTGAGACAAAGGACCTCCAAATTAAAACAGGAAGTAGTTTAACAGGGAAACACAGAGATGACGACTTTACAACAAGAGCACAAACTCATGAGAAAAATCTCTTTGTTCCAGCTGCTAAACACTGCGGCCCCCTGTGGTTAAATGGTAAATGGCCTGTATTTGTATAGCTTTACTAGTCCCTAAGGACCCCAAAGCGCTTTACACATCCAGTCATCCACCCATTCACACACACATTCACACACTGGTGATGGCAGCTACAACCACCTCCAGTAGGCAACGGGTGAAGTGTCTTGCCCAAGGACACAACGACCAAGACTGTCCAAGCCAGGGCTCGAACCGGGAACCTTCCAAGTACAAGGTGGCTGCCCAACTCTTGAGCCACGTTCGCCCCTTACTAGCTTACTACTACTTACTAGCTGGTCAAATATTAATATGGAAAAGTGCTGTATCAATGCAGGACTCACCTCAGGACGCCTCGTGGTGCTGCAGGTCAATTAAACCCTTGTTTATAGGCACCAATCACTTCAGAGTAATGTATCTCTGAAGCTAACACTGATGCACTGAAAGCCAGAAAAACATTAAAACAGCTCAGCATGTTCCTCCCATCATCGTTCAGCAGCCTTGTCTCGGGGTGCCCAAAGCCAGCGAGCAGTAGCCATTTACAGCATCGACTGTCGCAGGCCACAGAATGACAAAACGAATCACTGGTGCTCACAGATAAAATACAGACTATACTTCAATTATGAGATTGTCTCATTTTCATTGTTTCACAAAGAAAACCCAAAGTGAAGGAGTTCACGTATCTGGTGTACTTATTTCTGAGTGAGGGAGGAGGGCAGGGGGAGATGGACAGACAGATTAGAGCGATGCCCTCAGTTGTTGTACCGGTCTGTTAAGGTAAAGAGAGAGCTTTTGATTTACCTGTTAATCTACATTCCTGTTGTCACCTATGGCCCCATGGGCTGTGACACAAAGAATGAGATGGGAGATAGAAGCAGTGGGAATGTTTCCTTCCAAGGCTGGGCTCTCACTTAGATCATTTTGACATCTAACATGTCCTGGATTCCTTCTACTTGAGGTGTTTTGGGCAAGATTTGCTGGGAGGACACCCAAAGATGACCCAGGATACAGTGGAGAGATTAGGTCTCTCGACTGTCTTGGGAATACCTTAATGTTTCTCTGGAAGAGCTGAAGCAGGTGGCTGAGAAGAAGGAAGTCTTCTCCCCACAACCTGGATAAGTGGCAGAAGATGGATGGATGGCATTGTTTGGTTACTAATACAACCTTTCATAAAATTAAACGTAGAACAAAAAGTAATCCTCTACCAACTGCAACATTTCCTTGATTACTACTGTTGACTGTCCTTACGTGCTCTGCAACAGTAACGACAGCAGCCAAACCTTTGCTCGTGTCTATTTCTGATGGTGAGGGACTCCTACTGGATCACCCTGCACCAAGCACAGGAAAAATGATAAAAGGGGGTTCCCGCTGGTTTATAATGTGACTCCTGTTAAACAGTCAGTCTCCAGGTGCTGGTATAGCTCGCTGATCCAGAAGCACAGGTTTGATTGTGTCCTGAGGCAATTCCATGAGTGTCTTCCTAGTTTTCCTGTCGTATCCCAATAAAGGCTAAAAACGTCAGTCTGTGACAGCTTGAGTCAGAACATTGGTGGCGCGCACTCGAACAGCTTTACGAACCACAAACCAAATTGTTGTGTGGACGCCTGTGCAAATAAAACCTACAATGTGTGGACAGCGAGGTACAGCTGGAGGTAAATAAGAAAATATGTCTTTATGTAATTTTGAGTGACTGTCGCAGAAAACGCCATTTGGAGAAACAGAGTGCACCAGTATCCTCCTCTGCTATCAGGTCAGCACTTAGAAAAGTGAGGACTGAAAACCCCCAAACTCTGGAGTCTAATTTTGTGCAGTGAAATGACAGATTGCACTGATAAAGTATGAAATTGTGAGTTATTGTAGGAAACAGGAGAACATTGCAGGGGCTGTTCTCGTCCTCCAAACTGCTGCTGTAAGATATTATCTAACTTCAAAGGGAACACAAGAGTTTAATTAATAAATGTTATGTCTGGACACGTAATACCCTCTGAAATACTGTCTAATCTTTGCTGCTGCCCTCTAATCATTTTAGATTTACACAGGGAGCAGTTGGAGCCACTGCAAGCTGCTTCCAGCTCGGAGGGGCATCATTAGTATGTCCTTGCTGCATTTTATACAAAACGTGTTCCTTATATCTTCTTCTCAGTGGCATTAAATCCTACGTTTTAACAAAGTTGAACTATTTTATCAAAACCTACTTTTTATGGCAGTGACTGTGCTGTAAAAACACTTCAGTAAGGACAGGAAAGTTGTTTTGGACTCACTGTTTTGGGGATAAAAGTCGTGACTTTCTACTTACAAGATCTGCAGGGCCTCCTGTCACTCTGCGGTGTCAGACTGAAAGGCCACGTCCCAAACTGCTGCATCGTGCCTGCTGATGAAACACTGCCGACCCTCCGCCGGCTGAGCTGACAGAGTGATTTACTGGGTTGGACACAGAGATGCCTGGACTATAAGTGGAGGTCGTTCATTTTTTCCATGATTCTAAGTTACAAAATCGGAGATTAATTGCACATTACACATTGATTTAGGTGGATAAAGTAAACTTTGGTTTAGAGTTGGCTAGTTGTTAAATCTTTCCCTCTCAACCAATGAAAAGCTTTGTTTTCTCTGGTAGCACTTTCTATTACAGCTTGATAATAAAGGGGTAATAGTTGGGTAACAAGGTGGAAACAAGAGCGTAATAATGTGGTAATATCTAAGCAGCTGGACTCAAACCAGGAACCACTACACTATGGAGGCATCGCCTACAGCGGTAAACAAGCATTACTTTAAAAGCTAAGGGAAGGACTGTCTAAGTCACACTTTGCACAGATTCGCTCAGAGAGCAGTTAGCAGGCAAGTTGGCATCTCCTGTGGATGTGGCCACTAATCTGAAATTTGGTGGTTTGATCCCTGGATGTGCAGCAAAGGTTCGTTTTAGTTGCGTTCGTTCAGAGCGCGCAATTAGACATAGAAAGTGCTTATTTAAATGCATGTATAAGACGTGCTACATAAAGATCTTTGAGTGCTCAAGGCCCTACACATGAACTGGTCCATTCCCAAGAGAAGAAATAGCCCCGTATGCAAGAGGAGAGGCCTGACATCAAACCCATCGCTTGCTCACTACCAGTGGTTGCTGGGCCGGTGTGTAGGTGTGTGTAACAAGTTGATTTCAGTTGCAAAGCCTCAAAACCCTGTCGTTCAAGCATCTTCATATCTGGCTTCAAAGCAGCAGCCTATAACGGATTTTTTTTAAAAACGTGGTCTAAAGAACTCACATTTTCACACTGTAGACTGTACGCATGCCATCAAAGCACAGTAATTGACTTCATTTTTAAATAAAATGACTTAGCATAGTCCCATTATCGAGTGAAATGAGTGGGAACAACTCATCTGATCTTTCCTTTAGAATTTGTGAAAATTTGCTTCTTAATGTTTGCGACCATAAGTGGTTAAATGGCTTTTCTGCCCATTGCTGTTTCATTGATTCAACAGACTTATCTCCTGCAAAGGCACATTAGACCATTAGTCCCGTAATAGCGGGTAAACATTGGAGACAATCGCAAGGCAAACAGAGAAACACAATCGATGCCTCTCAGCTTCCAGAAACATAATCCTGCACCTGGACTCCCTCAGAGTACCCAAGCACCTGTGTGAGGAAAAAGGAAGGAAAGAAAGACTGTGTCCCTTTAAGGGATAACTCACAGAGGAAGAAGGAAAGGCTGCAAAGAAGGAAGGAGAGGAGGTGTCTATGCATACGTGTACATGTCAAAGTGATAGACACTTGGGCGAGAGATGGAGAAGGAGAGAGAGGGGGGAGAAAGATAAGCAGAGAGATAAAGAAGGGGAGACACAACATTGCATTAGACACTAAAAGCCATACATCGCTCACTAAAGGCTAATGCAATTGCCACACAATAAGAGCGTCTCAGCGGAGGCTGTAAAAAGAAAAAAACTAGAGAGGGGAATGTAAGAGGAGAGGCAGGGAGGGAGGGGAGGAAGGAGGAGATCTGGCAGCTCTGCCTCCAGACTCTCATATGGATCTCCTGGGACAATGGTTGAAAGTCTCTCTCTACTGTAACTCCTGACTGTGTGTGTGTGAGCGGCTGAGTGGCTCGCTGTTCTTGCTGTGTCTCCAGAGTGATTTATCAGGTTTGCAGGGAGGAGAGACAGAGGGAGAGAGGGGGAGGGAGACAACTCCAGTAGCAGGCAGGCAGCAGTTACCAACCAGCTGGCCGGGTGTGTTAACTCCACATCTGACCTCTATGGGAACAGAGCGATCTCCTCTCCTCTCCTGGCTGACTGTGGGAACGAGGAGAGATCTTCATTTCCCCCACTCTCGCTGCTCCTGGCTGGGCCATCGAGCTCGGGGACAGAGGAGGACATGACAGGACAGGACAGCTTTGGGAGCGAGATCTCAAGTGGGAGAGCCGAGCTCTGAGGATTTCACCGCCGAGCAGTGACTGGACCTCGCTGGCACCGCCTGGCTGTCGGTCAGGCAGCGATGCAGTTGTCTAGTCAGTCATTAGCCAGTCAGAGGGTTAGTTAGTCAGCCGGGGAATCGGTCAGTGGGGTCCTTCCCAAAGAGTCAACTCTTAGTGCATACCCTCATCTGAACTCTGAGGTGACTCAGACTTGCCATGTAGCTAGAGCGGACCTGTGGGCATGGTGAGTGGCAAACACCCCTCTCTGTCTCTCACACACTTTTTGTCTTCCTTCCGTGACTTCGGTGCTCCTTTTCCAAATGATATTAGTTGTGCTCTCTTTGTGTTTTTCCTTCCATGCATCTTCCTTTGGCAGCTGACTTTTCACAAACGCGAGATAACACGTTTGATCAAAGCCATCGGTGTGATGTTACGGCGTTTATCCTGCCACGGTTTGATCTTTTAGGGAAGACGGTGCATCTGTCTGTGTGACAAACAAGTAGTTGGTTTTTCAGCTGGAGAGATCTCACACGGGCGGTTTAATCTGGCTGCTTGTTTCGGCTTAAATGGAAACTATCATCTCCCTTTAGTCGAGGCTACTTTAAAGCGCAACACTGTGGATTTTATGATGCTAAATCAATAAAGGCTTTTATAAAAGTTGAATAAACCTGGGTTTTATTTTTGATCCCTGCAAAGAGAAGAACAGATATTTCACACATACGTGCGTGCAGACACACACACACACCTGCATGACTTCAGGCTGCTGTAACAGCACTTTTTCTCAGAAAACTCATGACTGAGGGAGGTTTTGTACAACGCCATAATCTCAGCACTATTTGGAGAAGGAGTTTGATTTGATAAACTATCCCTAAAGCCAAGTGCACAGAACATTTTTGGACAAATAGTTCAAATATTTGAACCTGCTCCAAGGCTTTATCTGGGTCTGCTAAATCAGTCAGTTGTTCCCATGTGCAAGAGACATGTTACACAAGGGCAAGGCTAACGTGCTCAGAGAAGCTGTTTAAATGGAAATGTATAGTATTTAAATTAAATTCTGCAGTATATATGTGCGATATTGTCTTAAGTTCTTTATGGTTGATCGAGCTAATAGAAAAGAAATGAATAGAGTTTAAAGTTAATGGAGCACTTGCAACGTTAATCGGAGCATGAATTAATACCCGACTCTGCAGCTGTAAGCATCTTTTTGTGACTTTGTGCCATTAGTTTTGTTTTCCTGCCCAGCTGAGGCGTATAATTGAGTCTCGCAGCTCTATTTATCCAAACCAAGTGAGCAACACAGAGCCACCTGCCCAGCACGAAACAGAATATAACAACCCGGATAAATGAACATCTGGGAGAAAAAAAACACTTAAAAAATAGACATGTCTGGGAAAATGATCTCACACCAAATATTACAGATATTACAGATTTCTCACCCCCTCCGCCCGGAAACACGATCTGCTTTATGAAAGCCAAACGTTGGAAATGTATCAGGCCAGCTGTGTTGTTGCAAAAGAGTTAACTCTTATAGCCTGCGTGACCTAAACCCGGTCAGACACAATCAAGATGCAGACGTTTTATTTTTACATGCGACGCATGGTTAAATTAAAGGACTTAAAGGGGAACCTGCTCTTATTCACAGCTCATCATTTCTTGGAAACCATCAGAGTCATCCTGATTATTCTGGGCCCTGTTCCTCCTCCTCCTCAGACATAGCCGCTAGAAAAGATGGACGTAGCTACCGTGATGTCACCCGCTGGTTTCTGGAGCCTTGAGATTGTTTTCACCATCATCATCATCTTGTTGTTTTGAAACCAGATGTGACGAGCGAGGGGCGGGACTGACAATGAAACCGCACGCTCATTTGCTAATGACTTGTCAGTCAGACGTTGTAAGGCAGCGCACGTTCCCTGAATAAAACTTTCTAAAGCAGGACTAAAACTGACCAAATGACCTCAACGTTTTATTCATTCTGCCCAAAATGAGCGACTGAGCTCATAAACCCAGCAGGAAAGTTGAAGTCTGCAGACTTTTATACGCTTTTTGAAACCGACGCGGTCGCTCAGTTCCCACCTTGGCTTCACTTTTCAGCCCTCTCCTTCTTGCGTCCTTTTTTTGTAAAGTCTGTCGACTCAAACAGGTTTCAGCTCCTCTTTTTCTAAGACCCGCCCTCCTTTTATGCCAACTTTCTTCTGATTGGTTGCACCTCAGAAACAAAAGATCGTGAACAATAAAGGGGTGGGGCTTCTGTCGTCACTGCCATAGCTGTGCCCTGAGATTACCATATTGAGGTTATCGCCTCTTTGTGATGTTAGGCCATGTTTACTCTGAGCAGCCACCTTTAACAGCTGTTTGTATACTATACATATAATTTGTATGTGTGTGATTTTAAATCCGGCCTTCAAACTCATTATCTGACTTTCATCTCCACAGACAAACGTGTCAGTAAATATTTTCATTCATCGGAGTCAGATGTGTGAGCAGATGTGTGAGTGCTCACTTAACGTTTGAGCAGCAGGAAATTAGGAGAAACCACTTGAACTGAAATTACATGCAAAATAATCGGGACTGAGATTTTTACAAAAATGCAATCAGCGCATTATCCTCTCGTCTCTGCCTCTGAGCGCGGTTTGTGACTCATTGCCAGAATAAGGACAGAGAAGTCTGAATGATCCACGGCTCCTGGCAACATTTGGACCATATTTCTATGCTGTATTGTTCCAAATATTTCACTAGAAGCATCAAGTAAACGCCGTCCGATTGCCTTGAATGACAACTCTTGGCTTAATGTATCCATAGCATGAATTAGTATTTGTTAAAGTGCTCTGATGGGATGACGCAGAGACGCGTCAGAGATGATTGTTGGGATTGAGCCATAAAATGAAGTTATTGCTGTGAATCATCAAAAACTAGGCTAAACGTTGTATAACCTTATATTAGGCCAAGTCACCGACCTTTTAACCATTTTTATTACATTCAAACAAGCGTCTGTGTGTGTGTTATGCATGCAGCTTTACCGTTGTTCCTGCTCTTTACTTGAACATCGGCCTGGCCTGGTTAGCTGGTAACTCCCCAGGGGTGTTACAAAGGTGGCCGCTTGGTAGCCAGACTTGCCTTTGAGGTCTTAGACGGCGACGCTGTAACTCGAAAAAGGCCGAACAGCTCAGATTCCTGCTCGAGGCAGATGTTGACATGGGCGTTGTCTCCTGAACAATGAGCAGATGTTTGTTATTTGGGCTCAGCTGCTAATTTTGTTGTCGTTTGATAGAGTCTGTGTGGGAGTGGGAACACGCGTGTGTGCGTGTGGTGTGTTTTCCCCTGCAAATGCACTCTGGTGTGATTCCACAGTAGTTTGTTGTGCACATGTGTGTGTGTCCGTGTGTGCAGCCACATGGTCCTTCTCTCTTCTCTGATGGTTTCCCTGCACTTTGTGTGCCCGCTGCTTCCCCTCAGATCAACTGCAGAATTTTAGAACGTACAGGACAGCATGGTTTCCCTCAGCTCTTTCAGCGCAGCCGTTCGCCACCACAGAGAATTTCTGTCTGAACCGAGGCAATTACAGCGCACATCCAAAGCCATCTTAGCCAGGAACCAAATGAAGGAGCCTTTGATAGCGCTCCGACTGATGCATATTTACATTTTATGACCAACCAAGTAGTAAACAGCTTGCCTTGTTGGCGCTGGAGCGAGACTTTAAATGCAGGCCTGTTTGCACACAAGCGCACACATCGGCGCGGATACATCAGCGCGCACACGCGTCCTTAAAAGCTTGTGAACAAACTGACAAAGACTTTTCAAAATATCAATTCAGCCATTTCCTCTTCTGCCCAACGACTTGGCGACAGCGCCAGCTCCATTTGTTTGCTGGTCACTGATTTCATAATCAGTTTTGTTGTGCTATGCTGCTGTTTTTTTTTCAGAGCTGCAGGCGCAGCAGCAGCGGCAGCAGTAGCCTTCAATTGAAGCCATGTGTGGTGGAAAAACAGGCCTCGGTTTGTGGAGGGATCGCATGCTTGGAGTGGGAGGGAGCTTGTCGGTTACAGAGGTCACAATCCAAACACGCCAACTCCTCCTGGCCTTCTCACACGCCATGCTGACGGATGCATCTCAGTAGTCAGTCGGGGCTCGCTCCCAAGCCTCCTTCGCAGTCGCACAAGCAGCTAGGTCAGGATTTTATTCTTCGAGCTGTCTAAAAGTACAGCGAGACCACTTCTAGGGTGTGGCACAAATTAAAATAGTGAGTGGTTTAGCTCGGAGCAGTAAGAGGCTTTATTAGAGTTAGCTTTATTAATTGCAGCGATGATAAATCCCGCCGTCCTCAGACGAACCCGGCAATCTAATGTCACCATGTCTGCGTTTATCTCCCCGAGTGCTGCGTCACCTGGCCTCTCTTCTTCCTCGAGCACCACACTGTGCCATCATTTGTGCGTCATTTTTTGTCTCAGTTTGCACCGATGCCTCCCCCAGGCTTCAGCTCCTCTCAGGTTCTTGCTGAGAGTCTTTCCCTTCCAGTCAAAATGTTATCAGTGCAGCCACAGCTATTAGCTAATAGCTGAAATAGCTACTACTATCAGATTCAGAGAGGCTTTAATGCAGCCGTGCCATTTCCGTTCATGCATTATAATCGATCATGTTCCTTTCAGAGCAGAGGACCAGATCTTTTGTCTTTTTCATTTCTGCTGTGTTCTTATGAGGTGAGTGAGCTCCTCTTTAAAGACAGCACTCATGTGCTTTAGCACCAGGTACTTTTTAACGTATAACTCCCAAATCTGTTTAGTCTCTGTCCTTTTTTGTTGCTTTTCCAAGAAAATGTCGGTAGTGATTGATTTTGCATGAAATTACATCTCTGCCAAATTGCATTAACGCTATGCAAAGTGGATTATTGTTAATGGGACATGTGAAAAAGCTCCAGCTTGATGTCTGCTCCTTTCATCAGTCACATGTGAGGGCTGGTTTATTGAGAATGAGTGATCTAATGAGCTAAATAATGAAGCCCAGACCCAACGAACACTGGTAATGACTTTTTAATGCCCGTGGGGTCTTTAGTTACCTACAGACGATAGATTGGTTGAGCTCGGAGGGGGGGTTACCTGTCAGCTGTGTCCTATATGTAAAAAGGGGTTGGAGATAATGGTGGTGGAGACTAAAAGCCAGCGGTTACTGAGAAGGACAAGTTGCGATAGGTGTTGAAACGCAAGAATAACAGCGATCTTTCCTCAGAGGCGTTCACAGGATGTGGCTCTT